GAGGGGGAGGAGGGGGAGGAGGAGGAGGGGGAGGAGAGGGAGGAGGGAGAGGAGGGGGAGGGGAAAAGAGGGAGGGGGAGGAGGGGGAGGAGGGGGAAGAGGGGGAGGAGGAGGAGGAGGGGGAGGAGGGGGAGGGGAAAGAGGGAGGGGGGAGGGGAAAAGAGGGAGGGGGGAGGGGGAGGAGGGGGAGAGGGAGGAGAGGAGAGGAGGGGGAGGAGGGGGAGGAGGGGGAGGGGCCCTCAACCACAGGCTCAAGCTGAGGAGAGACTGGGCATCATCCGGTGCCACACGGATGCTCAGACCGCCAGGATGGCCTTCCTGGAGGAAGAGCAGCCGGCGCTCAACGAACCCACCAACTAGCTAACAACTAACAGCTCAGTGAGGGAGTGAGGTGAGCGAAGCCTGTGAGCGGCGTCACAGCAGGGGGGGGAGGGAGGGGGAGGGAGGGGGGAGGGAGGGGGAGGGGGGGAGGGCAGCGCCCAGGTACGAACACTGCCCTGCCCTTCAGGCTGGCCCTGACGGTCTCTCCACCACGGGGACGGCAGCTCCTGCGTCCTTGCCACGTGAGCTCGTTAGTGTGTTGGAATCGCCTGACACCAGGCTCTCTAGTAGCACCTGGTGGCCGAGGAGTCCGGGAAGGAGGCTGGGGAGGGCCCCCAGGGACACAGGGGTGTCCTGGTGAGGGAAAAGGGAGCTGGGTCACCCCGAGACTGGCCGTCCTGACTCCGTCTGCGTACCCAGAGCGGCTAGCTCGGGCCTCACCGGGCACCGCAGTCCAGGGTGTAAATGGGAGCCGCAGGGAGGGTCGGCCTCCCTTCCAGGACCCCGTGGGCGGAGCGACCCCCCCCCCCCAGGCCTTGGCCTGTGGTGCGGCCTGGGCCCCGGGACAAAGTCAGGGACAGGGAGTCTGGGTCCCTAACATGCCAGGGCCAGGGCATGCCGGGCTGGGGCACCCTGGAGCCCCATGGAGGGCGGGGCCAGGCTGAGGCCGACTTACCCCGTGGGGGGGGGCTGGACGTGGGGTCGATGCCGAGACGCGGGGGCGGAGGCCGCTACGATGGGGAACAGGGCGTTCAGGGGGCAGGGCCCCCCAGGATGACGAGGATGGGGCTCTGGCTGAGTTTTCAGGGCTCAAAGTTCAGAGTGAGCACATCTGGAGAGCAAGGCGCCCTCTGGCCACGTGGAGGCCTCCCCTGCCCCTCCCCGCAGGGTCCCCGCGGGCCTGGCTCCCAGGCCGGGCACACAGCCCTTCACCTTTATCATTAGGGCCTGGTGTGTGGGCTCGAGCCGGCCTGGACATGAGCCTCCTCCTCCCTGCCTTGCTAGCTGGTTGAGATGGATCTCGCTCCCTTTGTTGACCACGCTGGCCTTGAACTATGCACCTCTTGCTCTCCACCTCAGGAGTAGCTGGGCAAGTCCCTGTGTCTCACCACAAAAGTTGCATCTAGAAAATGCTGAGGGGGAAGCACGGAGCAGGCCGGAAAGATGGATGGTTTTCTGAAGGATCCCACAGGGAAGAAAAAAATCCCCGGCGCTGCCTCTCGGCCGCCAGCAACCCCAGGGCATTGCTGCCTGCCCTGACTGGCCCTGAGAGCCGGCCGGGCCAGGCCTGCAGCTGCTCCAGGGCTGCGGGCAGAGGCCCAGGAGCCCGGCCTGCTCCCGTCCGGCGGTACCCGCTGGCCGGCTTCCTGACTCCAAGCCTAGATGTTATTGCCTTTTCCCAACCTCCCTCGGGCCTTTCTGTTCTTTCTGTTCAGAAGCCATCAGGAGACGTCTCAGGGAGAAATGGAAGGAGGTGTGGGAGAGAGGGACGTGGGTAATGGGCAAACCGTGCCTGACTCAGGAATGACAAGACAACAGAATAACCATCGCTCTGACGGCCCCTGAGAAGAAGATACGGGACGGTAAGGTCTGGATAGACACGGGGAGGAGTCTGAGGAGGGGCCGAGTGGCAGGGCTGGGGACGGGGCTTGGTCTGGGACCGGCTCTGGGGACGGGGCTTGGTCTGGACCGGCTCTGGGACGGGGCTTGGTCTGGGACCGGTCTGGGGATGGGGCTTGGTCTGGGACCGGCTCTGCTGCCGGGAAAGCCCCCCCTTTCTCCCCCTCCGGCCCCCCCCCTCGTTCCCTCTAGCTAGCACCCGCAGCCTGGGAGGGAGAGTTTCTTTTTATGTCTGTCAAGTTCACAGGACAGTTCAGCGTTAAACGCTACAGATGCAAAAGTGAGTTGAAAGTAGAAACCAAGGGCATGCGGGGGGCCGGTTCTTCCCCGACTGCCAGGCAACCATGCTTCCTGTGGAGACTTTTATCCCCGAGATCCCATAATGTGCATGCGTGTGCACGCACGTGGGTATCTGCACACACAGATGTGTGTAAATTCTTTCGAAACCACACGCTGGAGGCCAGGGCCTGAGCCCCGGGGGTCGGCATGGGGGGTGGGAGGCGGGGGGCTGAGCCCCGGGGGTCGGCATGGGGGGTGGGAGGTGGGGGCTGGCTGAGCCCTGGGGGTCGGCATGGGGGGGTGGGAGGCGGGGGCTGAGCCCCAGGGGTCGGCGGGGGGGCTGCTTGGTGGTGTGTCCTGTCTGCCAGGGGCTCTGCTCGGACAGCGACTCAGGAGGCTGAGATCTCAGGATCACGGTTCAAAGCCAGCCTGGGCAGGAAAGTCCATGAGGACTCTCATCTCCAATAAGCCAGCAGAACAGTGGAAGTGGCGCTGTGGCTCAAGTGGTAGAGCGCCAGCCTTGAGCTGAAGAGCTGAGGGACAGCACCCAGGCCCAGAGTTCAAGCCCCATGACCGACCAAAAACAAATTAACCTGAGGACTTACTAGAAGCCAAGCTGAGTGTGTGCGATCTTACACTCACACTTACACACACACACTCACACACACACACACGCACGACAGAGAGGACCCACAGTTCGCGGCCTGAAGGGAGGCCAGCAGGTGGGGGGCTGCTCTTCTTCCAGTGGGGGGCCCGGGGGGGCAGAGGTTGCTCACACTGTTCGGGAGGGTGGGTGCGGGGTGGAGGGGGGGTCTCATGTATCTGCCCGAGACTCTAACGTGCTGTCTCCCACGCTGCCACGCAGCGCTTCGGCCCTCAGTTTGCACAAACGTGATCAAATCTCTTAACGAAGGGAAAAACAATGACAAAAAAAAAATGGACAAGACACGTGGAGGACTAAGGGCCTGAGAGAGATGTGGGACATGCCAGGCGACAGGGAGAGTGTGCGGGAGCCGGAAGGAGCCGGAAGGAGTGTACAGGAGGGCGGCTCTGGGAGGGGAAGGGCTGGGGTGCAGGGCCTGAGGCGGGGGGGGGGGGGGCACGTGGGGGAGGGGGAAGGGGGGTGGGCCTGAGGCTGGGGGGGCGTGGGGGGCGGGGTGGACCTGAGGCCGGGTGGGGAGGGGGTGGGGGAGGGGGTGGGCCTGAGGCTGGGGGGGCGTGGGGCGGGGTGGGCCTGAGGTGGGGGGGGCGTGGGGGAGGGGGTGGGGGGGAGGGGTGGGCCTGAGGCTGGGGGGGCGTGGGGGCGGGGGGGCCTGAGGTGGGGGGGGCGTGGGGGAGGGGGTGGGGAGGGGGTGGGCCTGAGGCTGGTGGGGGGCGTGGGGGAGGGGGTGGGGGAGGGGGTGGGAGAGGGAGTGGACCTGAGGCTGGGGGGTTGTGAGGTTGGGGGAGGGGGTGGGCCTGAGGCTGGGGGGTTGTGGGGGTGGGGGAGGGGGTGGGCCTGAGGCTGGGGGTTATGGGGGTGGGGGGAGGGGTGGGGCCTGAGGCAGGGGGGAGGGGGTGGGGGGGGAGGGGGTGGGCCTGAGGCTGGGGGGGTGTGGGGGAGGGGCGGGGAGGGGTGGGGGAGGGGGTGGGCCTGAGGCTGGGGGGGGGCGTGGGGGAGGGGGTGGGCCTGAGGCTGGGGGGCGTGGGGGGAGGGGGTGGGGGAGGGGGTGGGCCTGAGGTGGGGGGGCATGGGGGAGGGTGTGGGGGAGGGTGTGGGGGAGGGAGTGGACCTGAGGCTGGGGGGTTGTGGGGGTGGGGGAGGGGGGTGGGCCTGAGGTGGGGGGGCGTGGGGGAGGGGGGTAGGGGAGGGGTGGGGGTGGGGGAGGGGGTGGGCCTGAGGCAGGGGGGAGGGGGGTGGGGGAGGGGGTGCCTGAGGCAGGGGGGAAGGGGGTGGGCCTGAGGCTGGGGGGTTGTCGGGGAGGGGGATGGGGTGGGCCTGAGGCGGGGAGGGGGTGGGGGGAGGAGGGGTACCAGCGGGGTGCTGCCGGTCTCTGTGGGTGGGTTACGCAGGCACTTACGCAGCCTGCCCATGCGGGCTGCTAGTCAAACCTTTTTATTTCATTTTTGGTGCCAGTCCTGGGCTTGACCTCAGGGCCCGCGTTCCGTGCCTTAGCTTAAAGCTCGCACTCTGGGCTGGGAAGGTGGCTCAGTGGTAGAGCGCTTGCCTTGCATGCCTGAGGCCCTGGGTTCGATTCCTCAGCACCACATAAGAAAAACGCCGGAAGTGGCACTGTGGCTCAAGTGGTAGAGTGCTAGCCTTGAGCTGAAGAGCTGAGGGACAGCGCCCAGGCCGAGTTCAGGCCCCACGACCGGGACCCAAAAAAAAAAAAAAAAAAAAAGCTCACACTCTTCACCATCTGAGCCACAGCTCCACTCTTTTGCTGGTGAATTGGAGATCACAGTCATAGACTGTCCTGCCCAGGCTGGCTTTGAACCTCGATCCTCAGACCTCAGCTTCCTGAGTGGCTGGGATGCCAGGCATGCGGCCCAGGCCCTGGGCTTCCTGAGATTCTGTCAGTGTAGAGGTGGGCGGGGTGGTGGTGTGAGGAAGGTAGGCTGCTGAGGCCCCGGCCTGGGGGCGGGGGGGGGGGGGGTTTGCAGAGAGAGTGGGAGGGAAAGGGGGCTGATGTGGGGGGTGGGGGGAGACGGGGTTGTACGAACCCCCAGGGCCTCCCGGAAGCCGCAGACCAGCCCTCATCTCCTCTCTAGAGTCTCCAGAGCCCCCAGAGCGGCAGCCCCTATACAGAGAGCCATGCAGGCTGAGGGCACGGGAGAGGGGAGAAGGTGGGAAAAACCAACACTGCGGAGGAGAGAGCCAGTCCCAACGTGAGCCACAGCCACGGAAAATTCCAACAAAGCAGTGAGAAAAGGCGTCATCAGAACCCAGGTATGCCACAAGGACAACACCCAAAAGAACAAGAGACGGAAATCAAAAAAGAAGGAGGTGGGGGGTGGTGGTGGAGGAGATCAAAAAACAAAGGACAGATGGACGGACGGATGGACGGATGAACGGACGGACGGACGGACGGGAGGGGCGGGAAAGACGGCCGGGCCACAGACGCCGAGTACTTACGTGCACTTCGGTGATTGCTATATCAACAATGCTACCCACAACAATCAAGGCGTCAAATGTATTCCATGCATCACAGAAATAGTGCTGCATGAGCCAGAGAAGCCAGGAGGAGAGAGAGAGGAGGGCAGGGCAGGAGGGAAAGAAAAAAAAAAACAACAAACAGCAGGGAGAGGGGAATGAAAACAAAACAAGGCATGAAAGAGAGGAGAGAAGAGAAAAAAAATGAGAAGAAAGAGGTTACGAGGCATTTCAAACACTCTTACCACTCTACACAACTCTTGGCGGCTCAAACCTGGACAACCTGGTTTTCGCGGGGCGAAGAGGCCTGACAAAAGCGGGGTTAGTTCCGGGGGGCGCCGGAGGCCGCCTGCTCCCTCCGCTCCGGCCCGGCACAGCCGGGCGCAGCTGGCACAATCGGAAAAAAAAAAAGGACAAACTCCCACAAGGCGACGGTGGGCTCAATAAAAAGTGTGACTGGAGGCGGGTAAAAACAGGAAATTAAAAACAACAAGAACAGCAAACGACAACATAAAAAGGCAGAGAGAGAGGGGGGGGCACGGCGGGGGAGGAGTGGGCGGAGGGGGCTTCCCTGGGGGGTGGAGTAATACTCACATTAGTCTCACTGAGAATGACATCAATTATGCTCCCAATCACGATGAGGAAGTCAAAGACATTCCAGGGATCACTAAAGTAACCCTACATGAAGCGGGGAGGGGCAGGCAGGGCGGGGATTAAAAAGGAGTATTAGACAGACAAGAACAGAGCAGCAACATCACCACCAGAATCATTGTCCTGGCCTCGCGGGTGCGTGTGTGTGTGTGTGTGTGTGTGTGTGTGTGGTGGTGGTGGTGGGGGGGATCGGGTCTCTGCTGGAAAGTTCCGGAGGGTTCCCCCCCCTGCTCCGGCCGGGAGCCCCGATGGAGGGCACAGAGCGGCGGGGGACAGGTTGAGAGCACCCCGTCCTGGCTCACACGGCGTCCGTCTGGCAGGTCCATTCTGCCGCTCACCATCCTGGGCACTGGGCCGAGCAGGCCACGGGGTGTGTGTGTGTGTGTGTGTGTGTGTGTGTGTGTATCAGGACCTGGCCAGCCTCAGCATCTCTTACGCCTGTCGGGAGGGAGGGGGGGGGGTGGGGAGAGGGTCCTGGGGTGGGTACCGGAACCGATGTGGGTGACGGGCCACCCGAAGTGGGAAACGCTACCCGAGACTTTGCCGAGGCAGCCCTGGGGACAGCAGAGAGCCAGCGGGGGGATCTGTACACGGAAGGGGACGGACACGGGGCTTCTTTGCTCTGTGTCGGATTTAGAGGCAAAGAGAGGCCAATCTTCACAAAAAGCTCTTTGGAGATTTTTGTGGTCAACCCCGGAACAGGCCGGGCCCGGTGCCCTGACCGACTGTCATCCCTGGCCAGAGAGGTTCGTCTTCTTTAAGAAATGAACTGTGGCTCCCCTGGCTTTCGAGGGAGTGTTCGGAGTGGGTGAGGCAAGGGGCAGCCCGAAGCCAGGGCTCTCGTGTTCACTTTCCAGAACTTTCTTTCTGACCGGGCCGGAGCCTTTGAGGCAGACAGGGAGTGTGTGTGTTTGGGGGGGGTGGGTGGGGACTTCTCTCTCTAGTGAAGTCGCATGCTGTGTGTGAGAAGCCATCGACTTCCTCCCAGGTTCTCAGACATCGCCCACAGAGCAGGAGAGAGCTGAGCTTTGGGGGGTTCAGGTGTGTGTGTGTGGTGGGGGGGAGTCGGGGGCGTAAAGGCCCCTCAGCGGAGCTACGTGTTTCTGCGTGCTCTCTGGATGCGCACGCCATCTTTGTGGGTGGAGATCCCGGAGGGAGGGGAGAGAGGGTGAGGAAGAGAAGGGAGAGAAACGAGAAGGCCAGGGTCCTGCCGCCAACCTAGAGAACGTGGCAACTCCATGTTATTGGGGGAGGGGGGGGGGAGAGGCAGGAGGGGGCGGGCAGGGCTCAGGGAGGGAGGGCGATCTTCCCCGTCCACCAGAGACCTGAAACGAGACGGAGAGCGTGGCCGCGTCCGCACCGCCGCTGAGAGAGGAGAGAGGGGGAGGGAGGAGAAAGGCAGAGCAGAGGCCGCGCGTTGAGATCCAGACGCACACAGTGTACACGGAGAGGCTGAGACGCGGAGGGGCTCCGTCCTCGCCCGGATCCGCACCTGGCTCTCCCCCTCTGTGTGTGTGCAGACAGACAGGGCACGCACACAGTCTCCTCCACCATAGCTCTGCCCGCCCCCCCGCATCTGCACGGCTACACTGGGTCCTGGCTGCCCGGCTGTGCTGCTGGAGCTGTTGATGGCCATCTCTGTCTTCTGCAGAGCCTCAGAGGCTACAGAAGCCAAACCCATCTGTTCCCCCGCGGCCGTGGGCTCCCACGGAGCCGGCCCCGAAAGGACACCGGCCCGGCTGGAGGCAGGGGTGAGGAGGTGCGTCCGGGAGGGCAGGCAGGGTCCCTTCAAGCCCCGACCTTCCCCCCTCTCCCCTCCACCAGCCCCTCCTCCCGCCCTCTCCACACCCCACCCACAAAGCCCGGGGCCGCCATTTTGGTGAACAGTTTGTCCAAGGGAGACACCTGGCCAAGTCTTTGCCTGGGCGGGTTTGAGAGGAGCGTGAGCGTGGTGCGCTCTCTAACACACATCCCTCCCGTTTGATGGAAGCCATTGCTAACTGGGGGAAAGCAATACTTTTTTTCTTTTATAAAATCAGGTTGATCCAAGGCCTGTCACCCTTCTTTCTGCAGATATCAGAGCTTCAAATGTGGGGTGGTCAGGGCTGGGGAAGGATGTGCTGGGCTCTCCGGGAGGTGGCAAACCAAACCTCTTACTGTCCAGTTCCGCAGAGCCACACAGGGTAGGGGGCGGGGAATGAATGGAGCTCGCAGGGTGGAAGCCGTCCCCCCTCACCCAGTCCCATCGATCGGGGGGAATTCCTCCTCCAGATTCCCAGGCCTCTGAGACCAGGCCGGAGGGAGGGATGGTCACTGACAAACATGCCTCTGGCCAGGAAGCCCTCCCCCTCCCTTGCACGGACTAGGGTGGGCAGAGCTGATACGGTGTCAGTAAATCCTATCAGGAAGGAAAAATGGCTGCAAGGATGCCTTCTACACTGCACAAGAACCGTGCGCTATCTTCTGTCTTGGGAAATCATCGCGTTGAAAAGAGGTCGGGGGGGGGGGGGGGTAGGGAGAGTGATTCTCAGAGCAGCGTGGGCAGCAAATCAACTCTGCCATGTGGTGCCTGGGTGACCAGGCCGGCGAACCTGACGAGGGGCAAGGTTCATTTTGGCTCATGGTTTTGGAGGTTATAATCCACAGTCATGTGGCAGCCCATGCCGGTGGAGGAGGCCGTGATGGTGGAGGAGGCCCGTTCACTTTGCAAGTTGGGAAATGAGGAGAAACAGGAGTCCCAGTATTTCCTTCGGGGCCTAACTTCCTCCCGCCAGGCCCCACCCCCAATGACTTCACTTCCTCCCATTAGGCTCCACCCCCAATGACCTCACTTCCTCTCACTAGGCCTCACCTCCTAAGGTCCCACCACTTCCCAGTAGACATTCAAGATCCAAACAACAGCATTAGTCTTGAGCAAATAACCTCTCTGTGCCTCAGTTTTCCCACCTAGCAAACGGGACAAATTGTAGGGTTAAGGTGGGGGTTACACCAGGCCATAGAGAACCACGTCCAGTCTGAAGAAGTAGCTATGGTCTCTCTCCCAGGTAAGCGGGACCCAGGTTCAATTTGGACTGAGTAGAACAAGAAGCAAAGGAGAAGGGAAGAAGATGACGTTTCTAGAGTCTTCTGTCCACCCTCTCCCTAAGGCCCTCTGGCTGAAATCGGGCCGGCACTGGGCAGGTTGTCATGGTGGTTTTGTTAGACTCGAGTCCACTGTTGAGCGCCGGGTTCTTAGCATGATGCACACAGAGAAGACTCCTCCTGGGGTCAAAGGCCGGGTGCTGGGCATGCTGCCGGACGGGCCAGTGTCTCTGACCTGGAGCGCAGGATTGCTGCGGGTGACGCTGGAGTCACATTCTCTGCGCTTGGCTCAGAGCGGATCCGCGGTGGTGTCTGGAGGACCGCGGTGGGCAGGAGCCGGGCCGTGTGCCTTCATCCATTCCCTAGGACTGTGTCCTTTAGTCTCGGGAATTTCAAGGTAGAAAGTTGCTTGGCTGCCATGGTTTTATTTCTCTGCGCGGCCCCTTCCTTACAGAGAGGTGTGACAAACCCAAAGCCGCAAAGAAGGGACTGGGAGCTCAGGGAAGCTCATCTCCCAGGCGGGGGGACCTGCCGGGACAGTTGCTTCCCCAGGCTGCGGGGAGCAGCAGGGGTGGAGCCGCTGGCCTGGGGCAGGGCGGGTGAGCCCCGTGAACCCCATGCCCGCCCACCCGAGGTGAGGGCAGGGGCCTCAGACCAACATGGCCGCGATGGCGGGATCTAGAGCCGGCCCTCCCCTTCTCTGTGGGGATGGCTGGGCAGGTGGCGGGGCGGGAGGGGGGGTCGTCGGTGGTGGGGGGCCGCCTGTCCTGCGCAAGGGCATCCTCAGCTCCCACCACCCATCCGTCACCCGCCCCGTGCCCTCTGACCTCCCGGTGGTGTCTGGGCACCTGACCTGACGGGCCACGAGAGCCAGCAACCAGCCCTGCCTTCCTGAAGAACGTGGCGTGGAATGACCACTGTCCCTGCTTCCACGGGGTTGGGGGGCTCCCGGGGGCGCACACAGGTTATCCCACCACGCCGTGCCTCAGTTTCCTCACCCGCAAAGCGGGAGTCTGTGGGGCGGGTGTGACTTGCGGTGTTCCACCACCTGAACCGTGCGCCAGCCCGTTTTGTGCTGGTGATGCCAGGTGCTGGGATACAGGCGGGCACCGCAGAGCCCGGCCTCATGGTGGAGATGGAATCTTGCCAGCATCTTCTGGCCCCGGGGATTGCAATCGCCTCCCGTCTCTGCCTAGATTAAAAGCTGCAGCCGCCCGGGCGCCCCGGGGCTGCCTGCCACGGAGCCCGGCTGGCTCTCGTGCTTGGGACCCTCCTTTCTGTGTGTCCAGCCGGGGTGGTGGTGGGTGGGCTGGCGGTGCCCCGGGGCTGGAGGG